AAGTAAAAAAGTATATTATGGACATGATGAAATTTTCACTGTTGGCCAGCAGGGGCGCAAAGACTCAAAAATGTGGTGCCTATGGGAGACGTCCCGGTCAACTTTGTCGTAGAGCCAGGAAATTCGGTAAACACATTCGTCATGTGAAGACAAACAAAAAAATTTATTATGGCCACGCCCCCTGACAAACCAGAAGGCAGTCATCTTGGATTTAATTTTCAGTGTGCATTTTCGTTGACGTTGCGTTTGAACGCACTCCTCTAAAGGCGCTTCACCCACAGGGCTGAAAATGACCGTACATCATCTAGAGAAGTGGAACATCTAAAGTTATCCAATTCATGTTGATAACTGTCACGGTTTATGTGCGGTGAGGCCGCAAATTTTGATCAAAATTTTGACAAATTTGAAGGTGACATTATTTGCTCCTGTTCGCACATACTTAGTCCGATCGTGCTGAAATTTGAATCACTGATGTGTGATCTCAGTCTGAATATAATACACTATAAAACATATGAAAAGTGAACAGTATAGCGCCCCCTACCATAGACATGAAACGTCAACATTGTCGGATTTGTACCAAATTTGGGAATTCAATTCTATTAATGACTAGAAGAAAAAACATATATTACTGACATGGGAATTTTTCAAGGTTGGCCAGCAGGGGGCGCAAAGAATATCTAAAGGCATACTATGTCATTTTGCTGTTTGCAGGCACAGAGTTTGCGGACACGGCGTTTAGGGTATGGTGTTGGCGGGGCGCACCATTTGCGGGCGCGGTGTTTGCGGGCACGGCGGGCGAGGGCCGTTCGACGCCGCTTGCGGCTTTAATTTATAAATGCACATGCATTCCAAGGTGATAAAGGCTTCCTGGTAAATCTGGTGAGGAGGCCAGGTTGAAGCATCAGCTGTGAGGAAAGCTAGCCTGATTCATCAGCCAGTTTCATTTCATGGACACCGCTGACCTCGCAGCATTAGAATTCGTTCGCTTGACAGTAGGCGGGTACTTTGTGTATTTAACCAGCTGCTATTTGGTTGTGACGTATGAAATGCACCACATCCCGTAGGAAGGACAATAACATATTTCCCCTTGATAAAATTCACCCAACATTCTCTTTGTTCCGGCTTTAAATCTCGACATTCTACACAGAATGTATGGCTTCGTCAACATCCATCTCAACCGCTTTGTTTACTGTTGTGCTGTACCACAAAAGGGACCCAGTCAGGCGCTTGAGTTTGACGTCATGACTTCAGAGCTCACAGCTGATTGGCCAGTGAGCGGTCTACAACTTCCGGGGTTCTTGCAAATCGTCTAGTGCAGGGTTGCTCAACACGTCGATCGCGATCTATCAGTCGATCGCCAAGGTCGTGTGGGTAGATCGCCGTGTCTCCTCTCGGACTCGCGTTTGGACTCTGTCTTGTCTCTCTCTCAAGGTCTGACACTCAACAAGTGCGATCATATTTCATTACGGCCGTTGGTGTTGGCAATAAACGTGTAGCGGGGTGCAGGAGCGTGTGGGGCGTCTCAGTGCAGCCTGTGCGCTCAATTGAAACCAGCGTGCATCACAGGGCAGGTTAAACTTCCTAAACATCCTACCTGTCCATCTGCCTCACGTCAGCAGGCCGCCCCCGGCCTTCTTACGCTCTCGCTCCTTCCTGCGTACAGCGAAAACAAGCCCCTTCCACAGTGCGCACTGATTAGAAGAGCAACACGAAACGTGAAGCAAAAACGAGTCTGAATTTGTGTTACAGTGTTGGCAAAAAACAGGTCTACAGCATAGAGCAGACCTACAGAACAGACCTACTGCCACATTTGGCTGAAGTTTGCCTAACAAAAGTGCACGGATGCATCTGTGTTTGTCACGATGTGCGTTTGGTTTGGTAAATGTGCAGAGCCTGGTAAATATCACTGCAAAACCAGAAAAGAATGCAACTCCAGTTTGGAACTTTAAAAAACAGGTTTAAAAATCTTCCTTCACTTTTTTCATTTTTTTGTGTAAAGTGCCAGAGGAAGTTCTCTTAAAGAAGGGGTTCTCAAACTGTGGGTGAGGGTCCAAAAAAGGGGCACAGAGTGTTTCACTGCAGTTTGCTTGGCTTTGCATTAGGTAGACTTGGTCATTTTTTAAGTAGCTCGCACACTGAAAAAGTGTGAGCATCCCTGGTCTAGTGTATTCTAATTCCTGACCTAGTCGCTGGAGAGAAATAAAATTGAGCAGAAGCACTAGGTAGCGCCAGCCTGGCTAGAGGAAAGCAGCTGTAGATCATCAATCAGGTCCCAGCATGTCTCCTGGGTTATGCTTTCTGGAAACTTGGGTTTACCAAACCTTGAGCCATACCTGTCATTGGTGATGTCACACTCGCTTACTCCACTTTTTTTTAAAAATATATATATATATATATAGTCTATGATCACTACAGAAAGAAAACAAACTTTATGTCCCTCATTTCATCTTTGGCCTTTGTGGATATTGAACAATTACGAAAAAAAAAAAAACACTCAAAATTTTGACAAAATTGTCATATTTTAGAAAGTTATTAAGATAGAGATGTAAAATTGGGACCAAAAGATGCGCAATACTACCATTTATATTTAACTTTTATTGACACCATAGCCATAACCATATTATTTTAAAAGTTATTTGAGAAAAAAAAAAAAAATCGATTTTTCAGCCAGAGCCTTATGGACGCCGTTTGGATGGAACTTGAGAAGCTTGATGGACCCAGTAGATATTATTCAATTGAGCTAATATTCCACAGATTTTCTTTTATTTGGTATTCACTTTTTAAAATTGGGGAAAATGCACCTTAATGTACCCTACCCGGTTTCCACGGGTCTGTATGCATGCATTGATATTTTCTCACAACTCAAGACGAGACCTAACTCAAGTCTTGTGTGCAAAATAATAATACAAAAAACAACGTGGCAATACCCACACGCATACACACGCGCACTGTTTGACACACTGACCTACTTTTTCCAAAAACGTGCATACTAGTGTCTTATAACTCGCCTCTTGGTTCTTTCAGTAAATGCGTGCTCAAGAAAGGGAACACAACATCACTATCCCATATAAAAAATAGTCACAACATAAACGTCAAAGTCTTCGCGGAGCTCTTTCAAAGGTGCTGCCGCGCAAGTAGGAGAGGAGGAACACGGGGCATGGACCATGTTTTCCTCCTCTCACGTGGACTCGCCAAGCTGTTTCTGAAACCGAGAGCTTATTACGGATCTGCACCGGTTGTTAAACTCTATTACAGCCATGGACCTGAGAGAGAGCTGCACTCTCCAAACAGAGAATGAGAAGATAGACTTGAATCATGTGAGTACAAAGTAAAGATAACTGTATTTGTTTTATTTGTATATTTTGCTTGCTTGCTTGATGATTTGCCTAGCATTTAACTCTATGCTGTGATAATGCTCATTCTAGAGACCTCTTGTAAAGTCAAATTGGCTCCACATGTACGCTGCTACTCAACTGCAGCTCAAGAAACTTTGCATTGTTGGCCTAATTTTCTGATGTCGGTTGGTAGGCAGAATAACCAATAACTGCAGGCTCCATTATGTTTAATTTGATGGTGGGATTCATATTTTAGATTTTTGTATTCAAACACCCAATTCAACTAGCCTACTTGCTGTTGAAATATCAGCTGTCAAAACATAATAGCACAACACAATAAGACAACAACAAGACAATAATTAAGTAATCTTAAAAAGTAATTCATAACTTAGATACATGAGATGAAAATGGGCATATGAGTTGTCACCAGAAGAAATGCATTTTTTGTTGCCCTTTATTTGACATGTTTCTCAATGAACTACAAAAAGCTTTACAAAACATGAACAGCAGCTCAGATTGCAGCATGCATCATGAGACAGGTGGCATGAATGAGAGAGGATGGGGTCTGACGAAGCATAGGATGGGTCTGTGTTTACAGTAGATCACATCAGTGCAGGCTCAGAGGCTGTGTTACCAACATCTCTGCAGCAGGCTGTTTGCAACCCAAGAGACCTTAGGTGAGTTTATTAATGTTTTCAATTGCTGTTTAGAGATTATATTTGTATTTTATAGGTGGGGTAGTTTGTATTACATTTAGTATAGGAAACACAAGAATATTTAAGTAATTAATGAGCCATTATATATCAAACAGAATAGTTTGCCAATGGCCATTAAGAACTAAACATAGTAATGCAATGATTAATAAAGCTTTTCTGACAGTTAAAACAGATTTCTAATAATCATCATCATCTTTGAAGCCATATTATAATAATAGGTATATCTTGAATTTTTCAATGCATATTTTCACTCATTCATATTTTTTTGTAACCAAATGCTATGATTTGTGATTAAAAAATAAAAGTGATATGATACTCAGATACTAATTATTGATTTTGTGAACAGTTTAACAATATGCCTTTTAACAACTGTGATTAACCTATTTGCTTTGAGTTTTTGCACTGTTATTCTGCCCATACTGTATATTATGTATTCTGTATATCATGTCTAGTTTTTTTTTTAACCTTATTTTAATGTATGTTATTCATTCATTCATTTTATTTTATCATATAATTTTATTATTCTTTGTTTAATATTGCACCATAATGCCAAAGCAAGTTCCTAGTTTGTGAATATTCTTCACTGACAATTGCAATAAACCTTAATTAAAAATTTGATTATGATATAATTGTGTAGGCTAAGCATTAAGGATCATGCAAATGAAAAACAAACAAACAAACGACACAAAAGCATTTGCTAATTTCTTTTCCAGAATGAAGCGTGGAAGTGCCAGTCTTAAGTCCAACTGCCAAACATTTCCCAGCCCCAAGGAGCGGGCCAAGAGGCTGAAGCAGGCTCCGTGCAGCTTTGCCCCAAGCCGAGGTGAGGACTGGGGCAACCTGCCGCACCATGTGGTCCTGCAGATCTTCCAGCACTTGTCTCTGGTGGACCGGGCACGGGCCTCCTCCGTGTGTCGGCGCTGGAACGACGTCTTTCACACCCCAGATCTGTGGCGCCGCTTTGAGTTTGAGCTCAACCAGCCGGCCACATCCTATCTACGCTCCACTCACCCTGATCTCATTCAGCAAATCATCAAGAAGCATGCACAGCACCTGCAGTATGTCAGTTTCAAGGTACAGTTGGTGTCAGATATCACCATTTTTTTCCAGTCTATTCCTCAAATTTCACTGGCTCACGCAGCATTTTTACCACACACCTAAACAACAATATGTTCCTTGCCTAATCCAAACCATCTGTCGCTCATTTGATTATGACTCACCAGCTGGTTTGGCATTAGTTGTCTCAACACATCAAGCACACCGGGAGGGTACCAGCTCCTCCGTCTTCACATATTTGTTTTTTTATCTGTGCTGGTAAACCAGGTGGACAGCTGCACTGAGTCTGCAGAGGCGGCTTGTGACATTCTCTCCCAACTGGTGAACTGCACCATTAAGACCCTGGGCCTCATATCCACCGCACGACCAAGCTTCATGGATGTGTCTCAGGTAGAAACAGCTAAAGATTGTTTATGTATTCTTATTACTTTAATACAATACAATTGTACTGATGAGCAGTAACTTCAAATAACTGCTCTTTAACAGTTTGAAGTATACAATGTACAAATATAATTATATACTTGTGTATACTGTATCAATGCCTCAATAAGAAAAATATACAAGAGAAACAATAATTTATGGGGCAGACACAGTTAGCAGCATAGTCTATGTAGTCTTCACTCAAAAAGTGAATAATGAAAGTGCTGACTGAAATTAAAAAAGATTTAATGGTGCAAAAGAGCCATAATATTAGTGTTGATTTGTCTTTATACAAGAGTATTTTGGAGATGGTTATATCATACACTGTACCATATTACAATTTTACAACAGTTGTGTAATGCTGTAATAGTGGTTTACAGTGTCAGTTCCAGGCATGATCGAAGAGCATGACTGACATGCAGAAGCTGAAAGGAAAGTGATGACGCAGTGTCTGTTCTCCTCAGGCCCACTTTGTGTCCGCTTTGACAGTGGTATTTGTCAACTCCAAGTCACTGTCCTCCATCAAGATCGATGACACTCCAGTGGATGATCCATCGCTCAAGGTGCTGGTGGCCAACAACAGTGACACACTCAAGTTGCTGAAGATGAGCAGCTGTCCTCACGTTTCCCCAGCTGGTGACTATTGCAGTACTCAGTCAGACAAACTCTATGTCATCCTAAGTGAAGGCTGTACATGTAATAGTCTATGTTTGCAGGGATCCTCTGTGTGGCAGACCAGTGTCATGGGCTCAGAGAACTAGCTCTGAATTACCATCTTCTGAGTGATGAGCTTCTGCTGGCCCTCTCCACTGAGAAACATGTGAACCTGGAGCATCTGCGCATCGATGTGGTCAGTGAAAACCCCAGTCAGACCCACTTCCACACCATCAAGAAGAGCAGCTGGGAAGCCCTAGTGCGGCACTCTCCAAAAGTCAACATTGTCATGTACTTTTTTCTATGAAGAGGAGTTTGAGCCTTTTTTCCGTGAGGAGACCCCGGTCACTCACCTGTACTTTGGACGAGCAGTGAGTAAAGAGATGCTAGGGCGTATTGGTCTGAACTGCCCCCGTCTGGTGGAGCTGGTGGTGTGTGCTAACGGGCTGGAGCCTCTCGACCAGGAGCTGATCAGGATTGCAGAACGCTGCAAAAGCTTGACAGCCATCGGCCTTGGTGAGTGTGAGGTGACCTGCAGCGGATTTGTGGAGTTTGTGAAGATGTGCGGGGGCCGGCTGACTCAGCTGTCCATCATGGAGGAGGTGCTGATCCCTGACAGCACCTACAACATGGAGCAGATCCACAGCGAGGTGTCAAAGCATCTGGGCCGCATATGGTTCCCAGACATGATGCCCACTTGGTGATGTAACACTAGGGTTTATTGAGGAGTTTACTGAGAAGTCATATACAGTTAGGCAATCACTGTCGCTTTGAGTGTTTTACACACATAGGCAACAACAAGGTAATGCTATGATTTATTACTTTTTTGCAGCTGATAGTTTTTAGTTTTTTTCAAAAATGATGTGACTATTTTCAAAGTTGGAAGAACAGAAACTAAACTATATTACATCTTCAAATGATCACGTCATCATTATATGTGAGGTTATTAAACCTCAGAGGCCTGAGTTGCTGTATTGATGGTAATTAATTAAGGGTAATAGTTTAAGGGTATAGTTTCCATCTGTTAATTTATTTTACTAGAAGTCACAAATGCCTCACACGTTTTTATTTATTTTACCTAAGCCAAACAGTGTGTATTTTGTGTTTTTATTCTTGTTATCTATATGCATATTTATAAACATCAGATCCAGTGGTTGTTATGCTTCTTTATTTGAAAATGTTAATGTGCAGTGCTCCATATTATGTATTTTTTTGTCTGAAATGCACTAAAGTATTACTGAGTTGCTTTGTTCCATTTGACCTTTGTGCAGTTATTAGAAGTAGACACTAGAGGACGCCAGTGATCTTAGTGTAGCCAGTTGGATCTTACATAACCATTGCTGCTGTAAAATGAAGGAGGCCAGTGATGGTTTTGGATTTGCATAGAACACACTCTTTTTATTATCAGACTACTGTAACCTATTTGTGTGTGTGTTTTTTATTCATTTCTGCTACAAGTCACAGTCATTATACATCCACAAGCCTATTCAGGGCAAATACCTTTTATATTTCACATTTATTGTCTTAAATACATCAGGCCCAGCCTAATGTTGCGCACATAGTGAAAGTAGGATTTGGATGGAAAAATACAGCACAACCTGTCGGTGCAGTGCTCTGAGAGGACAGGCCTGCTCTCCTGCTCAGCTCATTACTAAACAGGTTAATCAAGATAATCGATAAATTGTCTCTTGAGAAATTAGAAAACCAGAGACATAATGCTGTAACAAATGTTGCTTCAACTGCTGTCAATAAATAAAATAAATTCAGTATTGTCCTTAGTGCCTTGTGTCTTCTGATCATACTCTCACTGGTCGGTGGGGGTTCTCTGTGATCACGTTGAGTGTGAACTCATCGTCCATAATAGAGTCATCATCAAGGCTCTCCAGTGAGGGAGAGGGTGGGATAGACACATCCAAGGTTTTGTCCTGCACCCCTCCCCTGAAGCTCCTCCACTCCCTAATCCATTGGTCCCGTGTGGAGGGCTCCAGTGTGTCCAAATGCCGGGCTTGAACAATCGGGGAGGGGGCGATAGAGTTCTTCAGCACGTGAAACAGGTACCTGGGGGAAAAAGAGGGTGGTGAGAAACTAGGCCAGAGAAAAATATGCAGGTCTTTGATTTAAATCACAGCATTCCCACTAAATAGCAACACTTTCAGAGGCGTCAGCAACTGAGAGGAAGAATGGAGTCCTCTATGACCTCCACAATTCAAATGATTTTATAATCTGCAATTTTAGCCTAGTCATAAACATTATGCATACTGTGTTGAATGTAAATATTAAATTTGACATCAATGGTGACAATTTCAAATATATTAACAAAACTTATAAAGTACTTTGTAGTAACATAAATTTGAATACCTGGGCAGCAGCGCCACAACAGTAGAGATGAAACAAACCAGGTAAAACATGGGGTCAGCCATTTGGGCCTGGAGATTCCAATATCCGCTGTAGTTTAAATACATAATGCCATAAGCCAGTGTCACAATGAAATACAACAACACACTTCCCAGAATGATGACTGCATGCACAAAGGTCTGGGGGAGAAAAAATAATTAATTAATAGCATGAAATACATGCTAAACTTCTGTTCTGTCCATACAAAACATACCCATGCTTTGATCTCGATTGACAGGTGAAGTAAGATGGTAAATAAAGAAATTGTGTTCAAGGGAGTTCCAAAGGCATAAATGTCTATGTCAGAACCTCTGTAAGTCTAAAGAGAAAACAAGAGTTTAAATATGTTTTTATGACTGGTTAAAAAGTGCCAATCCCTTACTCACATAATATGGAATGAAGAAAGCCACTAGACTTTGATAAAAGGCATCAAGCATTGAAATCCAAAATGTTAAGAAGTTGTATTCCTAGAAAGGCAAAACATACATCATCAAATGATTCAAAGAAACCTTGAGTAAAATATTGTCCGACATAACTTTAAATTTTAATGTTCAACTGACCCCTTTACCCTGCCCCGTCCTGTACAGTTCAGGGAGACCAAGCAGCATCTCTGCGGACGCATCCCTGTCCATGATACCAAACATTACAGGTGGGGCCGAGGTGAAGATAAGGTTGAAGAAAATCATAAGCCAGTGGTCAATCATTGCATTAGCAGTGAAGCCACAATAGAACTGGTACCAAAAGAGCAAGTTGACATTGGCCTAAAAACACATATGTTTTAACTTAGTAACACAGGCACAATTTATAAGGCACTGTAAAGGATTGGTAACAAATCTAACCGCATTTTTGTAGAAGAAATAAATGATCATGTTCGCTAGTCGACTGTAGCACCAGTGTCCATGAACCAGGAGAAGTTTTTTTAAGTGCTTGAAGCGAGAAATAGCAAAGTCACTTGCCATGACCGCCTGTGGGTGACAAAGAAAGCGGTTTTATATGATGATATGAAAAAAGGAGGAGCACTTGATATCTTTAAAGAGACTGGCCTGACCTGCATCCCTTCCTGACCAGATATTCCCACACCAATGTCCGCTGCTTGAATCATGTTGACGTCATTGGCACCATCACCTGAGATCAAAGAAAGAGGTCACTCTTTAAGTCAAGGACAGCAAAAGTACTGTTTCCTTATATACTTTATGGCTTGTTTTCTGTTGCCATCAATTTTAATAAAAAAAGGGTTACTTTAAATAAAATGCATTTATAAATATTACTATTGACTGACATCATCTTGACATTGTGTAGACAGTGGACATACTAATAATAAAGGATCACTCAAACATATGTGAATGAAACAAACTACAACTCCTGGTATGTATTTGATAAAGAAATAAAATCTGAACACAGCTTAAAGCTCACATGAGTCAGTTCTGCATAATATTAGCCAGACTGGCACCACCTAGTGCCTCCGCTCAATTTCATTTCTATCCAGCGACTAGGTCAGGAATCGGAATACACTAGACGGTTCGCAAAAACCCCAGAAGTGCAAGCCGGAATTTAAAGCCGGAATAAAGAGAATGTTTGGTGAGTTTTCTCAAGGGAAAAGATGTTATTGCCCTTCTTCCCCCAGGATTTGGGAAAAGCTTAATATACCATTTAGCCCCATTAGCGGCGCATTACATACGCCATGACCAAATGGCAACGATTGGTTAAATGAAAAAAAGTACCCACTTACCGTCGAGCAAACAAATCCTGATGCTGTGAAGTCAGGCGGTTTCTAGCAAGTGAAACCGGCTGATGAAACAGGCTAGCATAATATAGGACGTTTAACGAATACTCTCAAAATCTCTAGAATGATTCCTTAGCATGCTTTATGGTTTGTTTTTTGTTCCATATTTAATAAAGCATATAAAAATAATGTCCATATAACTTATTTAATGGAAGTTAAAAACATATTTGAATGCCAGATTGCAGTATATAGCTTTTTTTATGGTAGAAGGACACATCTATTTGAGTTTTACTCTAAATGCCTAGTAGTGTGTTTATATGTGTCTCAAACTAGTAAAACAAAAATGAGATGAGATAGACAAAAAATGCTAATATTGTCAATGTGGTGATTTTGTGGTGTGGGAGGCACAGGGATGGCGTGTGCCGGTATTTATCACAATAAATTCAATTCAGTGGGACCCGCCTCCTTTGTGGGGATGAAAATTAGATCCCCAATGACATAATTTTTTGTTGAAATACAGGAACTTCAAGGACCTTGTTACTACAAGAAATTATCAAGTTAGACAAGGAATTTTTAGTTTTGGATATTAATTATGAACAATGAAATCAACAGGGAATACTTGTTTATCTGGCAGTATCACCTTCTATAATCTGAAAATCCCCATAGAATTTAAGTATTAAAGATGACAAGTTCAGTCTTCCTAACACTAATGACATCTGTGTATCTTACCCACTGCAAGCGTCATGACCTTGAGTTTCTCTCTAATCAGCTTCACCACTTGACTCTTCTGCAGCGGTGTGACTCTACAACACAACACCGTGCGGCAGCGTTTGGCCAGTTCAATGAAGTGGTCCCGTAGGTCCGGAGACATCGCCATGGTCAAAGTACGTCCGTCGATCACCAGGGAAATGTCTGGGGTGGTGTCAACATTACGAGGATCATCACTGTATCTCCTCACCTCCTCCAAAGTACAGTTCAGAATGGATGTGCAAGTGACCTGGAAAACAAAAGAACTGGTGTAAGTACAGCTAAAATAATCACATAGCATGAAGCCTACAGCACAATGCAAATTTATTAGCCATGTCTCTGTTAGGTTTAGTCCTAGCTACTTTTTGGTCAGTGCAGTTCGGACTCTTAAATAATATTAACATATCATCTATTACAAATGCAAACAACTTGGGTGTCATTTTAGCACCATCATTTGCAGATGCATGTAATTGGCTATAGCAGGGTAATGGCTGGAGGAGTGTAACCCCACGGACACGTTTTCCTCATGTAACCAAGTTACCCTGGTAAAAATAGTGCATCACCAATATTCCCTGTTATGTGACATGATAGAGGGGTAATTTCCTTTGAGAGTTGGATATTAGACTGCTAATTAGATATCAAAGCATTAGTTATTGTGTTGGGGCTAGCTGGCTTCATTCATCATCATGAACAGTCCTGCCTGAAGGGAACAAGGCCGCCCCTGTGCTCCAAAAGCCGCTCTCTGAATGTGTTAAAGAGGATTGTGCCTCGGATTGTTTGGGGCTGGAGATTATTGTTTTGTTTTGTCTGAATGAGTTGGACACTGTTAAAATATCTTGTCACAAAAATAATGTGAAACATGCACAGTTCTGCGGATGCTTAACATGGTCACAAAGAGCAGTTGGTGTATTTTATACAAACATACTGTGTGTTTACTGTGTGTTGCTCTATGTGATTTTTGAGGAGCACTGAAGAGTCCCAGTGCCTCACCTTGTTTTTGCAGCTCATGTTAATGACCAGGTCCTCCTGCTCCAGCAGCCTGCAGGCATAGCCGATGTTGACAGCTGTCTCGGGCTTGTCTCCCGTCAGCACCCACACTTGGATGCCCGCCTCCCGCAGAGCTATGATAGTGTCTGGGACGCTGTCCTGCAGACGGTCCTCCACGCCTGTCGCCCCTGTGCCACCAGAGAAACCCTGTCATTCTATTCATTCACACATCATGTTGGGCTTCCATACTATTTGGGGACATTACATTGATTTCTATTTATCTTCTGGACACCGGTCCTAACCCTAACCATAGATACAACTCACCTTAACCCAGTGCCTAACCTTAACTTCAATTTATCCATATATGAACTTCATATTGTTGATCTAATCATAAACCTGATTTTTATTCCTCATAAATGTGTTGCACACACACACACACACGCACAGACAGTGTTGCATGGGACAATGTGTTTTACCCAGCAGGCAGAGGTCGGTCTCTATCTGCACAGCAGAGTCCATGATGAGCTGCTCTCTGTTGTCCATAGCAGCCAAAGCTTGTTGTCTCATCACAGCCCAGCTCTCATACTCACTGTCACTCAGCACCTGCGGCAGAGACACAGCATTAAAGCAGAGCTCCATAGACCACTAAACACACAGGGCAAATCCATTACCTTTTTGGTGATGCAGAGTGTGCGAAGGCCCTCTTTAGCATAGCAGTCTAGATGCTGTTGAGTATCTGATGCTATAGCCTTTTCTGTAATATAATATAAAAGTATAACATAAATAATAACATGATATCAGTTTATTTTAAAAGTCAGTGCAACACATAATAACATATTTATGACTCAGCAATCATTACTCACTGTCTGATAACAAAAATATATTAATAAAAACAGCTAAGGGCATCACACAGTACAACTTAAATGAAATAAATAATAGCCTTACCACCATAAGGAGTCCCAAGAAGCTCCATAATTGCATAGTCTGCACCTTTAGTATATAGGATGCACTGCTTGGAGATAGGGTGCCTCACCAACACAGACATTCTCTTCCTGTTGGAGTCAAAAGTCAAAGTGTCCAGCACCTCAAACCTAAGCTGTGCTCCAGATGGGAGCTGCACAGTGACACTGTCAGGGGTCCGGGACAGCAGGATGAAGCCATATGCCTTAGCTGCGTGCACTAAGGCAGCCTCATCTGGACTCTCTGCCTCATAGCTGAGCTTGTCTGGGGTAGTGTCCTGTGGTGGAACATGGGGGGAACATGTCTGTGCCCCAGCGGGTTCTCCAGACGGCCCCTGTACAGTCAGGCCTATGTCTGAGGTCTCAGAAGTGGAAAGGCCCCTTGGACGAGTCCATGAACTCAGAGTCTCCCGGACTGAACCAGCCTTTTTCATAAAACTGGAGATAGTGTCTAATGGGTTGGATTGACTTCTCTGAAATGCAGGGGTCTGAAACAGACAAAATATATTAGTATTGTGGCTCCAGACTATAACAAAACACCAAGACCCTAATTTAAAAGTTACAGTGTAGATCATTTTGTGAGAAATGGGTGTAACAATATGTTTAAAATAAAACTGATCAACTCAAGTAGAGCTGCTTTTCTTGCCAATTGTTTATTAGCCTATAAAAATCTGTTGTGTAGTATGCAGTGTGTGTGTGTTTGTGCCTGTGTGTGTGTGCGTGTGTGTGTGCATGTACATGTGTGCGCGCGCGTGTGTGTGTGAGCGCGTGTGTGTGCGTGTGTGTGTGAGTGAAAAAGACAATTACATTAGAATAATAGTTCATATTTCATCCTGCTTTGTCCGTGACCGAGACAAGAGAGCTTGGTGCATCTCTCCTCTCGTGTGTCCTCCATCTCTACTTCATCTACAGAAGCCGAGCACTCACCCTCGGTCTCTTCCCTGTTGCCATGGAAACCACCACAGTGTTGCAAATGGCGAGAGCCAGAAAAAAGTCCAGGTAGGCATCTATCCTTTCTGTCCCCCTGATCTGCCGGAGGAGCTTCTGGTCTGGGATGACCTCAGTTTCCTGTTTGTATGGAGGTAATGACTTAATTAAACAACAGCATCTCACACAATACACCCTACATGTTTCACTGGCACGTTACAAAGCTAGTCACAAATAGGCAGGTGTCAAGCTGGCCCTGCACATTAAACCCTAAATTCAGGCTGAGCACCTGCTGAAACCATGTTGGAAAAAGCTTCTTTCCTCTCCCCTCCTGTTTTTCTCCAGGCTGCCAGTCTTTGCCCCGAAGACAAAAATAGACTCGGAGCAAGTGAACTGTATATGAAGACAGTCGTGCCTAAACTGTAGTATGCATTTACAGTGACCAGTGCCAAACGATGTCCCAGCGTGACCATATGTCTCATCACCGTGGAGACGCAGAGCCAAAATGGATGTGCACCCAGCAGCTTTGCCGTCTGCATGAGGACTGGGCTATGAGACAGATTTATATAAAATATTGAAAGTATGAAAAAGGCCACTGAATTCAAAACTAACTTTTCTGTAATTGTGTGGTACTGCTACTGTACACTGTTGTTTAATTCTATGCTTTATTGTATTGTTCTGTTTTCACTTTATATATTATTATTATTCCATCATTCTTCTTTAATTACTATGTTTTTAAGGAGAATTTTTTCACATCTGTTCAGAAACAATGTATGAAATATTTGCCTAGTTCTGGTACATTTACATTTATTTATTAACATGCACTATCCTCCTTTCAATTAAATAATTAAATAACACAATAGACAAACTATTTATAATAAAATGTCACTACTGTGATGTCATTTTTTGCAACTATTTGTTATGTGTGATTTCCCATTCAATCTTAGACTATATAAGCAAAATGATCTTTAACATAAAATCTCAGTATAGGGTGTAATTTTGGGTGCACTGTATGCATGTATGTTCCTGTGCTTACCAGTGGACTGCTGAAGGCGGCATTACTGTGGGCGGTGCCTTTTCTTTTACTCTTTGTCTCACTTTTCTTTTCTTCAGCATTGGAGTCCTCAGAATCTAGAGACCAGAGCTGTTTAGTGGATGGAGGGGTCTGGCTGAAGAGAATATTTTCATCCTCATCTATCTTGTTAGCAACAGATAAACGGATAGCTGTGAAAAAAAAAAAAAAAAAAAACATGTAAGGATGCAATCTTTATATACACAATATAAATACAAATTTACTTTATAGTTAATTAATAGTGGTACAGGGGCTATTTCAAGCATTACTTTGCCTCTAATAATTCTAATGTATGTGATAATAATATTGTACCTTATTTGTCAAACTAAAATACAAAATACTTACAATTACTGGCTGATGTGAATACACTTTTTCCCCATAGTAATATTACAGTATGATGAGTATTTCGCTTTATATTTTCTATTTAAAATTGTTCTTTTTAAGTTAATTCATACAAATCTTAACTATAAAGTCTTACCATTCTCCTTGTGTGGATACTCTGTTCCCATAATAGAGCATCGGCGAAACACCATTTTGTTTTCAGTGAGCGTGCCCGTCTTGTCGGAGAAGACATACTGGATCTGTCCCAGGTCTTCTGTGATGTTCAAGGCCTTGCACTGTATTGTAGAGTCTGTTTCTTCATCGTACAAATCAAGGTCGTTTGTGATGAAAAAAATCTGACCAATCTTCACCAGCTCAATGGACACATACAGTGAAATGGGAATCAAAACCTGCGAAATTAAGTAAAGTATAGTCAAGAATTAAACAAATATTAAGAGGACTGCTTTTGTCTCAAGATTGAAAGATAGTGTAGATGTCAACACTGAGGCCGTTATAGTACTGTCACCAAACCCCCTTGGCCACAAATTTGAAGACATATTATTTCATAATACATAATGCAATAATTTAAGACAAAAACATGTTTTTCATGCCCATATTCAACGTTACCTGTAGCAATATGATCATGCTGAAGAACTTGTAGAAACTGGCCAGACTGGGGGTGTCCAGGTGACCATCGCCCTGTGGGACGAGGTAAAGGGGAACGCTGGGCATCGACTCCAACCATAAATAATGTCCTGTATGTGAAAGGAGAGGGATTAATCACCACAGCTTTTTTTTGGCTCACCTTCCTCTTGTCTCCTGTTTGGTTTATTGAGTACTTTTAAATATACTGTGGGTGACATATAGTAAAATAATGAATTTACTTTATTTTGTAAATAATGACTGACCTAGTGATCCAATAATGCACATAAAAAAGAGAAGGATGATGCAGAAAATCACATCTACGTTCAGTCTCCGCTCCAGTCTGCTGCGCTTGTATCTTGGGCCATTGTTGTTGAGCATCGACTTGGTTTCATGGCCTGAAAATTGGAAGAAAACATAAATACATTTGACAAAACTTATTCCTCTTCAGCAATTAAAGTAAGTCAGAGAATTGACAGCCCACTACAGTAAGCCTAGAGAATCAATGACGGAAAGGCAAATTAGAAAACTGTTAAAACCAGATCACTCTTTGAAATAGTGGAAATAGCTGACTAAACCACAATAATTGAATAGTATGTTTAATGGTAAAACTGTTGCTTATCTACTACCCACTGGTACGCTGTATACTACTTTTACATTTTCATTCTGTATACAATCCAGTATCAGTTATTGGAGTATTTGGAGCACAAAAATCTTTTATAATGCTACAGTTGGAAAAGGAGGAATAGTATAGGCTTACCTGCATACACCACAAAGCCAATGGCATAGTCTGTGTTCCTCACTGTGCACCCTCTCAGCAGTAGATTTGTGATTCCAGCTCCAACTTTTTCCTTATCCAACTTCTCTCTGCAGCAAATTAGATACTTTCAGAACTGCCAGGTAGCTACATCATTGGTTAATCAATTCTTATGAGCTTTAGGACATTAGCAGTGGAGGGTAGCTAAAGAAAATCAATGATACTCTAATATAATTTACCTGTTAGATAAGCTGCAGAATGCACTGAACAGATACTTACACATAGCATTTGAAATGGTTAAGATTGTTGTTGGGTTTTTCACAGACTACGATGCCAGTAAAGGATTCGGGTTCAAATTCAGGATCCTATGTGGGAACAAAGGCAAAAAGGCACTGAGGTAAATTTAGACATTTTCCAAAATGCAACAAAACCTGTACGTTGACAGGTTAAATAATGCATCAACAACAGTAGCCTATAAATAATCTTGTTCAGCATGATTCTCTGTGCATGCATGGTCTGTTGTCAGCGTTTTTGAATGCCAATCAAAATAAAGGCAGGGATGGGCATTTAGGCGTTGACAGGTTTAATCATTGTAATGAGCCAAATCTACACTGACACAGCAGAAATCTGGTTTGAGTGGAATATGTCACACAGATTGATAATGGACAGACAATAATCCATGGTTTCTTATCTATAGTACCTATACCTGTAAAACGTATATTATTAAGTATCTTTGGCCATGATATGTAGAAATATCCAAATCAAGTTCAGAACAAACCACGTGATAAAATTACAAGAAATAATTACAAGTTCTGATGACAAAATATCAGAAAAAATAAAGTGAGTAATAAAAAGCCCTGAATGTGAGGAAAAAAATAGCACTGCCTATCACTAATTACCAGTGAGTTTTAACTGTTGGGGGCACGGAGAGATATGATGGAAGGAAGCTGCTCTGGAAGTGCTATTCATAGTATAACAAGCAGGTGACAGTGACGTCACCAGGCTTAATGACAAATGTTTATTACTGAGCAATAAAAGCACTTGTTATTGAATGAGTACAAGAAAGATACAGTTAATACCATATTGTGAAACATTCCAGGCTAAGCAATAAGATATCCATAGAGACAAGAATGTGACAGACCTCCCACCAGAAATGTAGCATGGTGCACTAGGGATGGTACAAAATCTCATGTCACAAAATCTCGCAAGACAAAAATTGTCACAAGATTGTGCACACATGAGAAAAATTATCTTGTGAAATTATTTTTCCAAGTGTTTATGTTTGGATTTGATTTTAAAAAAGTGTTACGTGTTAACGAATGGAAACAAAAATATTAAATCAAGTAAATAAAAAAATCTGAAGTCAAAATAATCTGAGGTCAAAACTGGAAAAAGAATTATGGATGTTCTCATGGACCCAGTCTTTTTTAATTGTTTAAATTGTGTCTTGTCCTATCCCTATAGTCCTGTTCCTTTACTTGACTTTACATCATAGACGCACTGTGATGCAGACTCCAGGCACAGCTCTCCTCTGCTTCAGGTTGGTCTCTCCATCCAGGTTGGCGGTCTCAATGTGGCACACGCTGTTTGGGTCTGACGTGTACAGGAGCAGGAGGTCCGCAGGGATGATGTTATTGGACTGAACCTTTACAAAGTCCCCCACTCTCACATCCTTCCAACGCTTCTCCAAGAAAACACCTCTTTTTCCTGAAAGCAGAACACTCTGAGGTAATTTAAGGTCAGCTTTTTCCCACAGTACAGACAGACACATATCTACATTACTGATGTTAAAATCTTGAACAAAAACATAGGACAGCGTAATCTCAAATATATTTTTCTCCTAAAAATCTTCGTCATGTGTCCGTAACTGTTAAAATAAAAAAAGCGTAGGTATGCGCACGTCACTGATGCGAGGCTACTATAGTGAACATAGAAAACAGCCTAAGGAAGATCTGCTGATTGGACACTGTCATTCATTAAATGGAATATGGGAGTAAGTGTCCAGGCTTTGTCTTGTTTTCTATGTTCAGATATTCAGATGTTGACACATATTCATATTATTATAAGAGCTGCAAAAAACAACATACATCAAGTGCTGAGACAGCAGTAAAATTATAAATCAAAAACTACATTTTAACACTGCTGTGGTTTATAAATATGGCATAGCACCATATATTCTAACATATTCTAATTGCGAGCAGTAGCATTTTACTATACTTTTAATATTACTCTACTAATTCAGTTATCACACTTGGGTCAGTCCCACACAAAGATGCAGCTTTCATTGTTCTTTCATTGCTCAACAACAGGGTTAGAGTTGGTAAAATATCTGGCCAAATAAAATAATGACTCTCTTATAGATAGATGCATATGCTTCCTTTCTTCAGGAAGAAAATCTGCGTCATTGTTTTTGGAAAGCAGCCTAGATTTGTTTGTACAGGGAATAACTACTGTGGACAAAGAACTGGAGGTATGCTGCCCTGCATGTAAGACAAGATCAGGTAGTCCCAGACTTCATAGCCAAAAGCCACACCTGCAGAACACTGTCGGGGGTTATGACATTTCACATTAATTTTTTAGATTATCTTTGATAAGTTAATTTAATAAAACTACTCAGACAAGGAAATTATTCACAGTATTCAGCATACCAAATTCAGATTTATGCAACATGGGTCTTGATATAGCATAAGAAATGTATCTCCAAATCTTTGACTAAGTGTGGGAACTGGCTCCGTTTCAGGATAAGATGATTGAGGCTATCTTCACCACACTATGTAAACTACTGTCAGCATGAGCATTTAAATTTTGAACTTTTTTTTTTTTTTACTTCTAGATAAACACAGCCACTAAAACAAACTTTATTTATTTAACTTCCTTTTCTAATAAGACTTCTTTGAATAAAGTGATTCTGAAAGCACAATCAATTTGACTCTCTCAGTTAGCAACTTGTTAAGAAAACACAGCCTGATTTTGAAGTAACAAAGATTTCTATATTATTTTCAGTACTTTTAAGTAACATAAAGAAAAAAATAAATACATATAAAGTGAGTATCTATAATAAGTAAGTATGACTAATCAAGATGTCTCTAAGCGTCATGGCCTATAGATGGATTTGTGAGATGAGTGTACTGCCAGGACTTTACGATACATTCCTCTCAGATGTGTGAACAGGGTGTGCAGGTGAGGGGAAATGCAAATGTAAATATAATGAATGACTTTAGAGCCTCTGATCCGACTGCATTCTTCAGGTTTCCAGCTCACAGTGATGCATGAATGACTGGAAAATTCACAGAGCCTGGGGATTTACTAGTGTTGATAATATTTTAGAATATATAATTAGTATACATAAGTACTTATATATTAAGTATACAGGCATGTTAATCCTTTCTATATTAGAACCTTTGCAAAGATTAAGCACTGACACTGTAAGAGGACAGCTTTAACTCAAAAACAAACTTTCAGATCATCTTGATAATGTGTCTAAATTGGATTTGAATAATTTTGCAGGAATTCTAATGTCTGCACTCATTCATAGCACTAGAGCCATTAAATACTGTCTGGAAAACACATTTGTAATTTTAACTGTAAGCTGTTCTGTACCTTTAACCTGCCAGTGTAAAATTATGCAAAGCAGCAAAAATGTTTTCATCAAAATTCTCACAGTGAGAGACAGCAGGAGACTGTGTTGAGGGGCTCTTCTATATAGTAATAATCTCCCACACACTTTCTATTTCTAAGTACAAATATTCCCACGTGGCTTTAAATCATAGAGGCAGTTAAACACTAGGCCCACTATCTCACTGATCTACACATGTTCACTCACTGATGCTGGCAAACACAGATGTGCCACTGCTGTTAACAATGAGTAGCCATGATAACACAAGCCAATGCACACTTTACCTGCTGTACACATAACATGGCATGCCGTTGAGCTTCTTGTCCGACTGGTACCTCCTGAAGTCCTCCCAAGCGTCTTTTATAGCGGTCAGAGCCAATATCACACAAATGGGAATCAGGGCAACTTCTGGCTGGAAAGCTTGGACTACGGGCACAAAATTCAAAATAGCCAAACCGACAAAATACAAGTTTGCCAGACGGTGAAACTGTTCGAAGAGGTTCATAGGTAAGAAAAAGAGGATGCTGTATTTAGTGGTCTTAATGCCATTGCCAGAGAAGTGCCGATTTGGTTGTTTCCATTTATCCAGTCCTTCATAAGGTAAATTGGACACAAGGTTGCGTAAATCCTTGTCTCGTGCCCTTTGACCTTGCCAAGCATCCCTAATTCGGGCCAAAGGGCTCATCCAGGGCATTGTGACTTCTATTCCTTTGTTTTTTTTTAATCTACACTAAATCTTTTCTTGCATTCCCTAACATCAGTGACTTCCCTGGTCTTTTGTTTGACTGAGTGAGTGTGTCAGGCCTAAAACTAGGTTAAAACTAAGAGGACAGCACACCTCCACTAAGCCCCGCCTCCTTTTTTGACAGGCATGTTTGCATTCCTGTCACAGAGGCTGTGAAGTTCTCAAAAGCCTGGAAAAGTGTCCATCCCAAAGAAAAGTTCATCTAAGTGCCTCTTTCAACCTTATACTTTACAGAAACAGAAATGCAGAACTGCTTTATACCCTATGCTACTAGTCAGATTTCAGTAGTAACAAAAATCACTGTGTTTTCCACCTGTACATTGTAAGTATAGGTGAAAAATAAGACATTAAAGTTTTGTAGATAAAAATATAATACTTTACATACATTTAACTTTGATGGTTAAGTTTAGAGTTTAGCTAAAGGTTATCTCTAAAGAACAAAATGTATTTTTGACTTATAGGTGGAAAGTTGATCCAAGTAATATGCTATTATTTGATAATTATGTTATTATATTATATCATGTTATTATTACCACTACAGTGGTAGTAACAGTCACAGTATTATTGTAGCAACACCGTCATGGTATTAGGCTAGTAATTCTGTTTCATATAAGCTACACTCAAATCTTCAAAGTTTAATTAGTATTAGCTTACATTAAATAGGCCAGATGCACAACAATGTAATAAAAAAATATTAATATCATTGCTTACATGCTGCTAAACTGTGAGGTCATAGGTCAAACACAGGACAATAAAGGTTTTGATGAAATCATGAATGTAGCTTAAAAGCAATGAGTGACACTGACATTTGATGGACAAGCAGCCTTTTGCACACATGGCCTCTGTAGGATGCCTTCCACTTCCTCAAGATGACATGTTGCTGAACCTGTTTTTAAAAGCCCAGAATAACAGTGTCATGTTCTAAAAATGTCTGTAAATTTCCATTTTAGACATAGACTTAACGTGGATCAGCCAATGATATAAAATAACTTCTTGTGTTATCTTAAGGAAATATAGTCTATTTAAGATCTCGTTTGGAAATTTTGCCTAAAAGCATGGAAGCGTACCTATGTTCTCAAGGCTTTATGTTCCCACAGTCCTGTTTGCACATTTAAACCTCACGCTCTCCTCAGGGTCACATAGAAAATAAAAATGTATTTTCTCGTCAGGCGAAAAAAATTATTCATGGGTCTGATTGACCCGCCCCAAGAGAGCGGAAAGGGGAAAAAAAAAAGTTTCTTCGGGTCTATGTGACCCCGAGGAGAGCGTGAGAGTAAAAAAATATTTCTGAAAGTGTCCATAACCTTCACCCCTATGCCCTGGCCCATAAACTGCCCTAGCCCTAACTTTAACCATATTCTTAAAACCAGGCCCTAACCTTTACCATAAACCTACAACACATGTGGGAATATAACGCTGTGGGAACAAAGAATCCTTTGACAAAATTTCCTAACAAACATGGAAACCAGCATTAGGCCTATGTTTAAGCAAACCACAAGCATCCTGTGTTAAAGTAGTAGTGTTTTGCTTTAATTGGGCTTATTAATTTGATTTAATTAATCATTTTTTCATTCAAAATATAAAAGCTATTCGTCATTATAAAATATTATGAAACAACTTTGTTCCCTGTCCTTGAGCGCCTTCAGTGGCATGACGTCTACAGGCAAACAGCCTGTTTTTCTATGTGTTACGGGAGAGGAGTGGCGTGAGACTCACCGTCGCTTCTCTTCAAGCCTGTCCCAGTCAGATCAGACACGGCTACGGCTCGGATTTGGCACGGCTTTGGCACGGCTCTGGCTCGGGTTTGGCACGGCTTGGGCTGCGTGCAGTGGCGCAGCTGCGACTCACTCCACTTACACAAGACCTCTTGGAAACAAAACACACGATTGAACGAGCACTGTGCATCCCTAATTATTCCAGTGATACGGAAACATGACAAAGTAGCAGCATCTGCCTTTCCCCCTCTCCTACATGTCAATATTAACAGCTCTTTTTGAACACCGGAAGTCTAATTTAGAGCTAACCATCTGTCTACCAACGCGAGACAAATGTCCACTGAGAGTGAAAATGCTCAAAGTCAGATTTGTGTACTCTACTGTTCCGGTATAGGGTAGAGTAGACCCTCGCTTGAACAGGCAAGGTGGTGTGCTGTGATGCAGACCTAAACCTTAGGCATCTGTCATAATCATACACACCAGACTGTGTGTTAACCTTCAAAACTCATGACCAAACCAATAGAGCCCTGGATCCTTCAGGCAGGCCTACTTTACTAATTGACCTCCAGCTTCTCACCAGAAGAGGTCCTAATTTACCCATCATTGGAAATCCCAAAAAGTTTGTGAATCTTTCAATAATTTATACAATAAATAAATAAATAAATAAATAAATAAATAAATAAATAAAACATATATAAAAATACAAGCCACATCAGTTCTTCATTTAAAACAGATATATCTGAAGCAGGCCTACCAGAGTTTGCTCATACTCAGATGTGATCTTATTGTTTTGCAGTAAGCCTGTATTTCTTTTTCTTTATGCCAAGCATAGCTTCACATTAGTCACTGCTGCAACAAAATCCCCCTTTAAAATATTAAATATTCAGTGTTTTTGTACATGAAATATTCACTGGCATCCATTTAAGAGCTGTAGCAGTGGTCAGATCTGGAAGCAGTAGAGTGCACAAATGGATGGATGCTCTCTCTTTCTCTGTCTTTTTTTTCTTTCTATTTTATTCCCTCCCCGTCTTTCTGCCCCTGAAGCCACTGGGCCGCAGAGTGCCTTCATATCAATGGTGCTGTGAGTTAATGTTCCCCAAGGCAGAGGCCAGTTTTCAGTTCAGGCCAGAGCTGCACTGCCTCTCATCCATTACTCTATATAGGCCCCTACCCGCAGTATCCTGTCCAGTTACCCCTACATTTGCTCCTCTCATTCGCTGCGTCGCCTTTAGTTATTCCCAAACTCACACAGACACTCAGTCAGCCATGAGGAAACAGAAAACCTCATGCACTCTTGGTTTTTGAAGTGATAGACTGAATCCAGTTTTAATTAATTAAGATTACATCTTCATATTTGCTGACAATCATTACACAAGATATTTACAGTCATTATGAAATATTACAATTGGAATTTACAGAAACTTTGTACAAAATATTATGCCTGACTTGAATGCCTGGATCACAGGGTTAAGTTGTGTCTTTGACCCTTAGTCACTGTTGTCTGGAAGTGCTTTAGCTTCGGCAATGCTTTTTGAGTCTGTTAAAAAGAAAAAAAAAGTCCAAAAAATACAGTCTGCAAAGTTGTGAATCATAGTTTCTTTTGTTAAACAGCTTTTTTCTTTTTTGTTTCAGTGGAGCATTTGAACTGTAATTCAACTGCAAAAACAACAGAGACCCATTTAAATAGGTTAAATTCATATTTACATGTATGTGAATATTGTTTTATAAAAATGAATAATCTTTTTCTTTAAACATGATTTATGTTTTTTATCTACATTTTTCAAACAAAAACCTAGTCACAATGAAACGCATCATACTATCATTCAAATCTACTGATAATGATGATTGTGGATTGCCATATTTATGCAGCAATAAAATGCATGTTTTCCAAATCAAGCTCAAGTTATTTAAAGCCATCCTTTGCCTCTTCACACATTGGCAGAAAGTTATGGAAGAGTCTCAGGTTTTCTTTCAAAATATTAACATGTGGTGAAATGGACTCTGCCGGCACAGCAAAAAAGCATAAAACAAAGATGGCCAAAGCATTAGTGTCCACAGTTGCACTCTTGGTTCCTTCAAAAAACAAGGAAGCCAAGAGAGCTTAAAAGCGTTACAGGATTGTCCAAAGAAAATCCCTTGATGTTATCCGGCAGTGTTTCCATACTGTTTGGACCATCCGAGCCATAGCTGCAAAAATAACTGGCACATTTGACCCTGACAGAATTAGCTACCTAGAAAAACAAAAAAGGTTTTTCACATTTTTTTTTCCATGGCTGAAATGCAAATGAAATAAAACATAAGCATGCTTTTTAAAGGATGTTTTTGATATACAGTAATCATACGAAAATAGACTATCAAGGATGGCTCATTTAAATCATTGATAAAGCTTTCCTGGATGCAGACAGCTTGGCTACGAAGTAAATAGATACTAAACAAAACAAATTTTTAAAGTATATGCAAACACAAGCATAAATATTTTGATCCACAGAGTAAGCTATAAATGACAAATATTAGTGATAGATTGAAATTTCTGAACAGGCACCATTACTGTTCCTTTTAAAACTCTTCTTTTTGTGTTATTTCAGTCTTTATAAGGTGTTTCCCATATCCTGAAAGAGTCAATGCTGACTTGTGTTGAGTGCAGCTGAGTCCATCCAAAAAGTCTCATCATTTTTCTGAAATGAACCAGCTAAAAAGTTGGTGCACTGTTTTTTAAAATTCTCACTCTCTCTCACACACCACGCTCTCCTCCCTGAAGTTTCCCTTCCCATACCCCTTCTTTGGGAGCCCTCAACATGAGTGCTGGTCTCCTGTGGGTTTAATGGACGTAGTAGAGCCAGTAGACCACGTTAAAGAAGGAAAAGACAGTGGGGAAGATCATTCTGGACCACTTG